TTACATGCTTCACTGGCTAAGCTGGATTTTGTAGGATTTGCAGTTGGAAGTTTTAGGGATTTAAAATACATGATCATTTTTTAAATTGGGTATTTTATGTTGAAAACTGTTAGCAGTTAAATTTTCTGTAGCAAATCTGTTATGCCTTTGCTCAGAACCATTCTACATCTCGGTATCTCAGTTTTTTTTTTAATTGACTAAATAGTGAGCATGTGAGAATGAATAAATTTTATAGCTGGGAAAATTTTGTAGATAAGTATCATTAGCCTAGGGAAGAAGGTATCCTATTTTATACTTGAGCTCGATGGTTAGTGACTAAAAACTTACATACTTCTTAGAGCATTTAAATGGGTTTAAACTAATGAGAAGATTCTTTTGTAAGGGTATATATTTAAAAGTGAGGGGAAAGTGGCCCAAAGTTATTAGGAAGCAAGGATAGCAATCAGTATCTCATTATTCTCACTCAAGAGCCAACTGGGATAATGTTAAAGATAATAACAAATCCAAACAGAAAGAGTAGTATACTCAACTAAAATGCAGGACTGGAAAATCAATAGTAGCAAATAACTTAAGGCAAAATTGTTTTGTATTTTTACAAAGATTAAACAAATAGTGCAGTCTTTAATATTTACTTACCCATCTTATTTTTTTTACAAAAATTTCAGTTGATAATCAGGGTTTTACATCAATACTTGAAGAAAAATTAAGCATCCTGTAGATTTTAAAATAATATAGATAATGCCAGATGCAGTGGCACATAGTTATAATCCCAGCAACTTTGGAGGCTAAGGTAGGAAGATCACATGTTCAAGGCCAGTGTAGGCATATTAGTGAGACCTTATCTCAAAATAAGAAATAAAAGGGTCTAGGAGTATAGCTTAATGATAGAGCACCACTCGACTCAATCCCCATTGATATATTAAACATTTGTAGGTATTTTAATGAAGAAAATGGTTCTGCAAGGTGCAGAAATCAACTCAGGTGAATTTTTTTTTTTTTTTTTTTTTTTTTTTTTTTTTGAGAAGCTCTTTCTGTTTTCCTGGTTAACACCTTGCATTACAGGATTGGGAGTAAGCATAAAGTGATTTTTAAATTAAACAAAAATTATGAATTTTAATATGTGCTTACTGAGCTAAATAAGATGACTTTGATTTTACAGAGTGCATCAGCAGTTTGGGCTAGGGTCTAGTATTCTTCAAGTTTTTTGAAATATATTTTTCTTAACCATAGAATTTACCCACTTAAAGTATACATGGCCTTTGTGTGTAGCTCTTTTCACGTGGCATAATATTTTCAAGGTTCATCTATGTTGTAGCATGCATCAGTTCTTCTTTCCATTTTATAGCCCAGTAATAATTTATTGTATTATTTGCCACCTTTTGTTTATTTACCAGTTGATGGACATGAGTTGTCTCCTCTTTTTAACTATTATGAATAATGCTTTTGTGAATATTTGTGTACAATATATTTTCATTTTTCTTGAGTATAAACCTAGGTATGAAATTGCTGGGTCATATGATGTATGTAGGTTTAAATTTTTGCGGAATTGCCAAACTTTTTCCAAAAATGAATGTGCTTCTTTGTTCCCACCAGTGATTTCTCCACGTACTCTTCAATGCTCAATATTATCTTTTTTATTTTAGGTATCCTAGTGGATGTGAAGTGGTATCTCATTGTGGTTTTTGTTTCCATTGCTCTGATGACGGCCGACCCTGATCTCTTTTCATGTGCATGTTGGCCATTTGTATGTCTTTGGAGCCAAATCCTTTCTCCAGTTTTCAGTTGGGTTGTCTTCTTATTGTCAAATTATGAATTCTTTATATATTCTAGATACTAGTTTCTTATCAGATATATGATTTGTAAATATTTTTTTTTAAATTGGTGAGTTGTCATTTCACTTTCCTAATGGTATCCTTGAAGAACAACATTTAAAATAAATAAATAAATATTTATTTTATTTTTATTTATTTATTTATTTATTTATTTATTTATTTATTTATTTATTTTTTGGTACTGGGGATTTAACCCAGGGGCACTTTACCATGGAGCCACATATCAAGCCCATTTTATGTTTTATTTTGAGACAAGGTCTTGCTGAGTTGCATAGGTCCTCACTAAGTTGCTGAGGCTGTCTTTGAACTTGCAATCCTCCTGCCTGGGCCTCCCAGGTTGCTGGGATTACAGGTGTGTGCCACTGTGCCTGGCAATATTTAAAAATTTTGATGAAGCTAAATTTATGTGTTTTGTCATTTGTGCTTTTGGTGTTATGTGTAAGAAGGCTTTGTCTCACTGATAATTCCTTCTGTACTGTCTTTTTCTTAAGGTCTTCTTAATTTGAGGATAACTGAGTTCTTTTACTCTAAAAAATTATAAGATTACTATGCTAATTAAAATAGGGACAAATTGTAGCCTACCTTAAATGTTATTGTTCTTTTTTAGTACATATTTTAAAGTTGTGCAGATGACAAAAGGTAATTTTCTTGTTGAGCCTTTTCATCTCAGTGAACTCTCAAATTCTGTAGTCTTAATATAATTTTAAAAAAGAATTTTTTTTTTTTTTGTGGCATATGATACCACTACCCTTATTTCTAGCAATATGCCTTTGACATATAAATGCAATAATGTTTGCTGCATTGCAAATATAAACATAATCACATGGCTCTTTCAAGTTAGTTTAACAAATTATTTCTGAGAACACATAGTCTAGATTATCAGTAACATTCTGGCTCTTCTGGGTGAGGCTTTGTCAGTACATAATTTATGATGATGGGATCCAAGGAGTGCTGGAATTGTGGTCTTGGAAAAATTGTTACTGTCTTTAGTGTTCAAAAGGACAGTTTCTTTGCATTTGTCTCTTCTCCCTTGTAAGAACACCCACCACATGTCAGTCATCAAACTGAGTGCTTTTGTCAGATAAGGGAACTAAGACTGAGACACCAAAAATGTCATGCGAATTATCTAATCACTACTGTTCAAAGTGTGGTCTGAAGACTGAGTCTAATCTGTGATCTGTTGATCTGTGATCTATGTGTTACTGGTCTACATGTGACAATCTTAAGTACAGAAATTAAGAATAAGCACTAAGGAATATTGACAACAATTTGACATTTCTGCTTTATCCAAGTACATAGCCATTTCTTCCTAGCAATCTATGTTTATTGCTTTTTATGTTTTGTTGTTCATTTTTACAAAAATATTGGTTTGTAATATCTTGGGGCAGGGTGTGGTGGTCCTTTAGTCACAGATAGAAGTATTGATCTACGATCAAGAGAATTATTACAGGAATCTCAGAACTATAACTTATACTTCCTGGGCCATTTTCTTTTCTTTCTTTTTGTCCCCTGCCCCTATATCTTTCTTTGTGCCTTCCTCCATATTGATAACCATGTTTTAATTGGAATATTAGGTTTATATTTTCTATGGAGAAAATTTAGGGATAGTCCCACATTTTTTTTATAAAGTGTACTTTCAGATTCCAATGTCCTATGAGATAATGTGTCTTTTCATGTGAAAGTCAAGCAATGGGTGTCTCAAAGCTTTTTACTTGGAGTATCTAGAGAAAAGGGTAATGTAATTTGAATGTCATCTGGTTCTTTTTCTTGACTTGAGAAGAACTACATAGACTCTGTCAGAAGTAATGTCATCTCAGAGGTGTGACTTTGGGTTATTTTGTGTAAATGTCTCCAGAAGCTCCTTCTTACTTTTTAATACAATTTATAGAACTGGTTTATTTTGAACCTGCTGATCACTTTTTTTTAACACTGAAGGAGATAAACAAAAATAATAGTACTATGGAGAAAAGAAATACACATATATTTCTTTCATTGAATAGGGCTTATTAATATCCTGGAATATATGTATGCTGTAAACTTCTAATAGGCTTAGAATAGGATTTCTTTGCTAAAAGAAAATGTGTCTTACAGAAGGTGAGGAATTGATATAAATATAAATAAAATAAAATATAAATAGTAAGAAGGGGTAACAGTGTTGTTTGTTTTAGGCAAAGTGCTAAATGGAATCAAAGTTTAATTTAACGATTTTACTGTTAGTTCTATTAGACTGGGGGCGATAAAATGATTAATAAGCTAGGTCACTGCCTCTCATGACCATATGGATTAATAGAGGAAAATGAGATAGAAATATCAACCCTAATTTAAGGCAGACTGGTTTAGTAACTCCTATAAGAAATACAGAAGGAGAAAGAAGATGATAATTATGATTGGAATGAAGAAGACCTGCTAATAGGATGGTATTTGAGGCACATTGGGGAGAATTAAGAAGGTTCTTGACATGAAACAAAGATGTAATAGCATTTTAGATTTGTGCAACCTGGTGAAGGGATACATTGGTTAAGACTCTTAATGGGGGGGAAAAAGGAACTGAGCTCAGACTAATTTAGGCAAAGAAAGGGGGGTTTATGAGTTGGCCTGTGAGAGGATAGTTGGCATCTTGCTTCATGCCTACCTAGATCCAGGTAGGTCCTCCAGCTACCTTGAGTTTTCTCATTCACATCTTGCTTTCTATGTGTAGCTGCTCCACCTCCTCTGTGTATGTGAGAGAGATGCTCCAGTTGGTCAGGACTTGGTCATTGTCCAAAAAGGAATGTGTAGTGGGTGGTTAGCAAAAGCTGCTGCTGCTGAACCACATGCAGCTTGTTGGTGGTGCCATCCTCCAAAATTCTGAGAGGAAGCAGTTCAGAGCAGGCAAATACAGATGTCCACTACACACTAGGCTAAATGAAAGTATGACTAAACTTATATGCCGTAAAGCCTGTAAAAAGAGAAGGGAAAAAGGAATGACTGAGATAGATAGTAGTCTTAGGTATATGGTCAGCAGTGGGTATTTCATTAGATGAGAGTAATTATTTTAAAGCAGTGAGTTGAAACCATTATTTAGCATGTTAAAATTTGAATTGATTCGTAGAGAGAAGAGCTGGAGGGAAAAAAAGTTAGAGCTAACTCTCTAGACTGGTTAATTTTACTTATTTATTTTTTTTGCAGTGCTGAGAATTCAACTCAGGGCCTCCAGCACATGAAGTAGGTCCTCTGCCTGTGAGTCACATCCCTGGCCTATGGTTTTTTTTTTTAGTTTTAAATTCTAATTTATTAGTGTACCACTTTAATCTTAAAAAAGAAAAGAAAATGTAAAAAACAAAACAAAATAAACAAAAACAGCTCCAAATATAGTTTTATATCATGTTTTTAGGAAGGGAAACTATTCCTTTTTAGACCCACCCCACACCCCAACTTCAAAACATACCATTTAATTGTCTTGGTCATGGTTATTTCCAAGATGAGATTTGATATCATACTTCTATTCCTTCTTTTTATCAGGAAACCTTTGCTTTCCCTTATTGAAGGAGGTTGGTCTGTTTGATCTTGGTATGTTACTTAGAGTATTCTTCATCCTCCTCTTTGCTTCTGGAGGTATTTCCTCTACTTCACTATCTTTACCTTCATTGAAAGCTGCTGCTACTGAGAGGGTTTTGGAGCAAGAGTTGGGAAAGTTTCCTTAGGCTTACCCAATCAAAGTTTGATAGATATGACTGATGCTTTCTTTGTTATATGACTACTTGTGGCAAATCCAAACTTGGAGATCTCTGTAGGCTTTCTTGGGAGGTCTGCTGCTGTTTCTTCAGCCGATCACTTCTCAGAGCTGCATCTGGCACTTTCCCCTTCATTACTGGAACAAACAGTCTTAGCTTCTTCAAGTCTTTTGGTGGCCCCAGCCCACTGTGGCTCTGTAGGCTTCTCTTTTCCTGCCGTATCATTCACCATTGTCCCTGAGGTGGCTATCTTGAACCTTTCTTAAGGTCTGTTTTTCAAGTGAGTCAAAGTTTTTTTTTTTTTCCTTATTTAAATTGTTTGCTACTTGGCTATCCATTTCTTGCTCTTCTTAGCAAGTGTATGAGTGGAAAAGATTAAATTGATTAAAACACACCCATCACTTTTACTTTTTGGCACTGATATAAAAAAGCACAAAATGTATAGATTAGAGATAAATAAAAGTTAGACTTTTAGATTATTTGAATTTAACTTGTCCTGAACAGACCTGTTTATTATTATTATTTTTTGAATTTGTATGGTTTTATAAAAATCAGTCAAGGGGCTGGGGTTGTAGCTCAGTGGTAGAGTGCTTGCCTCGCATGCATGAGCCCCAGGGTTCGATCTTCAGCACCACATAGAAATGAATAAATAAAAAAAATAAAGATATTGGGTCCATCTACAACTAAAAAAACATTAAAAAAACAATCAAAGCAGTTCACAAAGATACATATATTATACCAAAGTTAAGAAATGAGTTAGGAACACAAGGGCAGAGAGAATGAGGATAGATAAAAAACTAGAGTGAAGCTAGAATTAATATTTGTATCTCAAATGAATGTAATGAGTACTCTAGCTTTTGCTGGGGAACATACATATTTTTATCAGCCAATGCAAAGAGGGAGAAAATGAGCAGGTAAAGGATTTATAGCATTCTTTTTTAAAAATATTTTTTAAGTTGTACATGGACACAATATCTTTATTTTTTTATTTTTTATGTGGTGCTGAGGATCGAACCCAGTGCCTCATACATGTGAGGGAACTGTTCTACCACTGAGCTGTAACCCCAGCCTTTATAGCATTCTTGATATAAAAGTAAATCAGATACTCAAGAGATATACAACTAATACTGGGATCCAGTGAAATTTCTTTCAAGGAGACTAAGAAAAGGATGTCTTGGAGATTTCGTAGTAAATAAACTCTTAAAAAGTATATTCAATATTGCTTTGGAGTTTTTTCTTAAAAAAATTTGTTAATGTAGTTATATAGTGTACACCAAAACACAGTTTAGGACACATCAATTTATGTGGGGCAAAATAACAGTCTAGATCAGGAGTTGGCCATCTATGATTTTTGGAGCAAATCTGGCCTGCTGCTATTTTTATAGTAATGTTTGGAATGAAACACAACCACATCCACTTGTTTAGAGTTTATGACTGCTTTCATTTTACAGCAGCAGCACTAAGTATAGTCATGCGGCACATAGAGAGGTTTTGTAAATGATAGATCATGTATAAGATAGGGCCTAATGATATAAATGTCTTAGTTGGTGTAAGGATACCTATCATATTTGCACAACAATGAAATTGCTTAACAATATAATTCTCAGAAGGTATCCCTGTGGTTAATACATGAAGTTTGACTCTAGTTGTGACAGAGATCCTGTGTCCCACAAAATCTCTAGAGTATTTTCTATCTGACCCTTTGCTGTAAGGATTTGCCAACCTCTGGCCTACATACACAATTCTCTAATAGTTTGGTTTAAAATTAAGACAGCATATGAAATATCTAGAGCAGAGGTCTCAAACTGGTAGGCCAAGTTTCAAATTTGGCCTATAGATGATATATTTTGGTTAAATTAGTATTTGTGTTTTAGAAATTTGTGCCAACCAAGAAAAATTCAGAATCTTGCTTTTTTTCTTTTTTTGGTGGAGGGAATTGAATGAACTGGCAATACTGAGTTTGCATTGTATTTGTCTTTCTCTTTAGATCACCATCTCTTTCCAATTTGTATTCCATACTACTCTGTTACCTCCCAGTCCTCATCTTCTTCTACTCTTTTGGTCACTGAATTAGAAAAATAACCAAGGTATGTGTACTTTAGCTATGTTCAAATATTTTATTTGTTGTAATAATACTTAAAAGTGGAGAAATTTAGGATATATTCCCTGACTACTGCTTGGAGTGTACTTTTGTGTTAGTACCTACTAGGTCATACATGTGTTTAGCCAGCAGAATTGGAAGTACGGTTGATATTCTCCTAAGATGAGAGGCTTGGCAAATATTTGTGCCTACATTTAAGACCAAAAAACCTGTATGTGAAAATGGGCTAAAAGATTTGGATTAGAGGCAGGCTAAATTTTCAGCAGAAAATAATTCTAGTTCTATCCTAACAAAAAGACAAATGGATTGTTGAGGACTAAGTCTCTTAAATTTACTACTTTGGCTCATCAGTTGTCCTACTTAACAAAAGAGATAATGGGTAAAGTAACCATCTTATATAAGGAATGTAGGGCATACAAGAAAATATTTATCAGATTAAGAAGGCAGAGAGAAGGGTTTGTCATGGAAGAGGAGCTGGAAGTAGAGAAGAAAGAGAAAAGATAGGACTTAGTGTACATCTGGTGAGTACAGGCTTGAGAAGGCCTCAGGGGGAAATTCATTGATCAAGGATAAGTCCTGGCACATAGGACATGACCAGTATTAGCTCTTGGCTATTATAGTTACATGTAATATATAATGATTGGCTATTCTGTGGGTAGAGACAAGGGAGAGTAAGTACCTAGAGGAAAAATGGAGGAAAACCAATGGTAGATTGTGTCTGGGCTGAATCCTGATTCTTAGATTCTTTTCTCAAGGAAGTGATAGCATCTTTAAAGAAAATGGGAAAGTGGATAAGAAAGATCAAGGCTGTTGAACTTGAAGGAGTGTTGAGAAAATTAGTCAAAGCTGTTTGAGAGGGAGCCTGAGATATGGAATAGAGATATGGAGAATCACTGATTTATTTGCCTAAACATGTTGAATGTCATGAAAAAGATAAGACTTGCCAGAGAATGTAGAAGGAGATGGATTAGGATGTTCAGAGTGGAGACATCTGCCCCAACTTTCCTCACAGGTAAATCAGGAGAATTGTCACTTTTGTTTCTAAACATATGATCCAAAGTTACAGAATTGTAGAAGCCATTAATTACTTTCACTTAGTATGATTATATAGCCACAGGATACACTTTATCTTGGTAGTTTCTTTGGCATTCATTTGAATGCCGGTATGATCAGCCTTTTCCTTTCTCATTGTTTTTTATTGTCTAATTATTTTCTTCTTTGTAATTCAGGCATCATGTTATGTTACTATGCCTTGTCCTAGCAGCTTAAATAATAATAAGCGGTATTCAAGGGAAACCAAATATAATTCTAGTATCTGCATGTAAGGACTTTAAAGAAGATAAAATTTATATTTCATCAGCTCAAGGGTAACTTGTACAGTTGTGGTTAAGTGCATAGATAACTATATCATAAATACCTTGGTTTAATCCTGGTTTGACATTGTGACTTTGGAAAAATTATTTTCTCTCTAAGCCTTAGTTTCTTAATTTATAAAAATAGGAACAAGTATAATATCTCATAAGATTGTAGTAAAGATAAGGAAGGTCCTGGCACATAGGATATACCCAATATTAGCTCTTGCCTATTATGATGTCACAAGATATTTGAACATAGGTAATTTAAGTTATGTTGAACAATATTGCATTTAATCATATCATAGCTACTTACATATTACACTGTATACTGTAAGTAGGTAAAAGATGAGTTGATAACACTAGGATTCTTTTTTGTAATTGAATATTCAGTTTTTTACTGTAACCTAACTTTCATGTGGTGATTCATATGTGTCATGGCCTATGTTAAATTTCAGTGATCTTTTTATTTGGATGAGTTGTATTTATCTTCCTGTTTCTGTCAGACGATAGGAAAGTAATAAAATAATAACAAGTGAATTTTATCAAAGTGAACTTGAGAGCCATTAACTGGATAATTTGTTAGAAAAGTGATAATGAGATAAAAATGTGAATTATCCTGAAATTCAGAATGGCTGCATTTTTTGGTTGTCTAATACTGATGTCTTCAAAGTTTTCCTTTGTATGGTAAAAATGAATGAGAGATAAGCATTTTTCTTTACATGGACAATATTTGGGTTTTATATAGTAATAGATGCTTTATTTTAAAATTGTTCCCTGATATATCTTTTCTTGCTTTGTTTTGCTAATCTTAAACTTTATTAATAGGGTGTCTTATTGTCACAAACTATTTCTTCTCTATTGACATTATTTAAATCCTCTACTCTTTTTATTTTATCTAATTTTTATTTTAAAATATATTTTTAAAATATATTTTAATGTATTTTTATGGTTAGAAACCTATGGACCTGTATGATAATTCTGTAAATTAATTATATTCCTCTGAGATGATAAAAGCATTGTTAGCTTATTATTTAGTATAGAAATATGAAGGTTGAACAGCTATTTAGTGCAAAATTATGGTGGAGGAATGTGTCCTAAGGAGTTCAAACACTGATGTTAATTTTGCATTTTATAAGCTTTCAGTCAAGCTATTTGAACACATACACAATTTTTGTTAGATAAGGAAAGATGACTTAGGTGTGGTTTGGGTAAAGTACATCTTCTTAGATTAATTTTTCTATCGATGTGGCTATCAGTGCCCACAATAGAGATTTAGATACAGCTTCAGCAACTCAGGTTAGCAGGGTGTTCCCTATCCTCTGTAACATGCTAGAAAATATAGCAGAAAGGTTTCAGTTAACGTTATCAAATTACTGTGTACCTGAGATTTGACTAATAAAATTTCTAGAAGCTTTATAAATTCAGTCCTTGATCTTATACTTAAAAACTAATTCAGCAGTAAACTTTTTTGCCATATCAAGTATATTTGTTGAAATCTAATTGATATGTCACTAATCGGTGTTTTAGACAAACTCCAAAGGCCATCCATCAATGTAATTGCTAATATATTAAGTGCATCTGTACACATTTACATTGTAAAATTATATATTCTTAGGATTTAAAAATCAACAATACAAATTTTTCCTTAATATCTTTATATTTAAATTTTTTTATTCTAGTGTCTGACCTACTAAAGCTAGAATAATGCAGAACAGCTGTTTTTATAAGTGATAATATGCCAAAGAAAGTATATCATAAGTGATAATATGCCAAAGAAAGGAAGGTGGTAATAAAAGAAAAATAATTTTCCTCAGCATAAGCTTTGGCGATTACTGCTAAGTGCATAGCCGTCTTACATTTTTAAAGCATGACTAACGCAGATACTGAATTTCTCACAATTGTGCAAATTAACCATGTATGCTATCTTTACCATATGATTTGACTTTGAACATGTCTTGAGATGTTGCTGTTTCCTAAACATTCCTTAGATGGCACAAAATGAAAAATGTTTTTTTTTTTTCTGAACAAAAACATGAACAAAGAATTTTTTATAAAGTATGCAAGTCAGTTATTTAATTATGAAACCATCATATGCAACCATTATCTGGTCATAAATTTCCTTTTGGAAAATATACAGTTTTAACAGATGCTGTTATTGACTACAAAGCAAAAGGAAAAACAGAAAAAAAAAGATACATTCATTTTCCCCCTCCACAACAGTTACACAAAAATGCTTTAGTATTTATTGCATGTAAATCATATGCAGTTGAATCAATTTTCAATGTACTTTGCCAGGTCTATGACGAAAAACTGAGATTATATTTTACTTTTTACTACACATTATTTTATCATTGCCAACTAATGTTGGGACTATTTAAACAGTGAAAAATTCTCTGGCATGGTATTTAGAATTTGTTATTAGGGTATCATAGGAAGGATGTACTGAGTTGGTGGTAATTGATTTATCCTCATCATACTGAACCTCCCACTCTTCTTCCACTTTGTCCTCCCTTGGGCAATAATCACAGGGTTGAGCTGCCAATCTGTAGACTTAATTTTTTCCAGCAGTACCATCTGGCTCCTTGGCACCAGAAGTTATATTGGTTCTTTGTGGTTGCTACTGAATTTGTCATATTGTTAGACAGCTTATAGGATGTTCTTGCTATTTGATCCTAATTTTCTTTCAAGTAATTATTGATTATTATTTAGAGAATCTTCCTGTGCTATTTCTGAGAGCATGGCATGATTTTATTGTGAAAACAAACAAAAAATAGAATGTACCTAAACAAGTCGTATGTCAGCCTGGAGCTTCTTTTCCCTGTATTGTTTTCTATTGAGTTCTCCTTTTCAAGAGAGATTAATTTAAGTTAATCATGAAGGTTTTCTGTCTCATTTTAATCCTGTATACCTTTTACAAAATCATTCAAATGTTCATTTAAAATCCTGTTATGAGTGACATCATGTCCCAATTGTGGCAAATTTATAAATCTCTATCAATGGCCAGATAACCTTCTAACATCCAGCAGTATTTTATCCATGTTTAAAGATGGCTGCCTGTGTGAATCTTGTATTTTGTAGATGAGGTGATTTTACTGTCATGTCTAATAACAATCATAAACAGTTTAAAAGTAGAATTGTGAAAAGTTCATCTGAGTTTTAGTCATTAAAAAGAATTTCCAAACATATATTTCTACAAACTTAAGTAGTTTTTCCATCTTACATTGTAAACTAGACGTTTTTGATGAAGGCAAAAATTTATTTGCTCATTTGTTTCTAAGAAAAGATCATAAACAAAAATAATTTCTTAAGCTCTTAAAGAATCTGCATAGAAAGCAGATCACTTTGAAAAATATTTTTTTTTTTTTTTTTTGTATTTGATTGCATTTTTATTTAGTGGAACAAGATAGACATATCTTTAAGAAAGTTTTTAGAGGCATTCATTCATATATATGAAAGTGTTTTCTCCTGATTTTAACATCTCAATTAGATTCTATGTTATCTGTTAGTTTATAATAAAGACAGGATACTGATATGTTAAAAATATTTATTTTGAATTCTTTTTGTGGCTGGCATAATGATATTTGAAGTTCTTAAACAGAGATTTAGCTGGGATTATTTTAGTACTACTGTATTAGAAGTAGTATTTTAATATTACTCTATTAGAAGCCCACTAACCATAAACTGGACTTTTCAGAGTATTTTCAGAATGTTAGATAAAATATACAGTTAAATTACTGTCATTTGGTTATGATGTGATGTTAAAATCCAGTTGTTTATAATTTTTAGGTTTTAAGTATGTAAAGGAAATGAGCAATAAATGTCACTGTAAGAAGAGCTAAATCAGATGTCAGTGAGATGATTCATGTGCTAACTGAAATAGTTAGCATGCATTTTATTCCACTGTCTAGCAGGAGGAGGTGGGCTATAGAAAAATGAATTCTTCACTAAATAATTCACAACAATTATATCAAATTTTAATAACTTGAACTAAGAAGGCATACATATGATTCATGTTCTCACAATCACCTACATTAGAGATTAATTGTGCTTTCTTTAAGCAAAAATGCACTGTTACAAATGTTTTTAATTGGCAAATCATGATTAGTTTCATATTTATAGAGTAGCATCATATGATCAGTTTTTAGATATAACCTAAGGTGAAGCTTAAATATCACAGCTAATCTGTTGTCTTAAATGCCATCTCATTAGAATTTGCCCCTAATATCAAAAAATGCCCTGAATTGTTTGTTGGCTTTATCTTAACTCAAATATGTAAAGGGGACAGTAGAGCATTTTTCTTTGGAATCACAGAGAGTTCAGTGACCTTTCTGTGGCAAATTATGTAGAAAGAAAATATTTATATTCATTTAAAATAACCTCCGTGAAGAAATAGTCTCATTACCCTGTTTGATCAATTTCTTGTAGCCTGAGCTGTAGCATGCTGCTATTGCCATTGGTTGATGGAATACACTGAGTAGTGGCTAATGGTGATGGTGCTCATCAGGAAGGGTTCAGCCAGCGGTCAGCAACAAATAATTCAAGACTGTTTCTAAGTTTGTGGCTGGTGGAATTTGCTTCTTGCCCCAAGCCAGCGGCATTGCTGAGCTGGGCTATTTGATTAGAAGAGAGGCATATTTGCTTCTTAGCAACTGCACATTTGCACAACCCATAGTCCTCTACTGCCTCCAAAGGTTTTCCTTTTGTGATAGTAGAATAATACTTTATTGTTGATTGACAGACAAAAGAGGTTCTAATACAAGGCAAGCTTATAACCATTTTTGTAGTTGTTGGCTTTTAAATATTTCAGCTACATTTACCATTTTTTGAAAAAGTAGAGACCAAACATATGTATAGTGTAAATAGGTATTGAAATCCCATGTGTTAGAATTTCAATATGCATATTAGCAAGGAGGTTTGCATCGCATGAATTGAATACTTTTTTTGCATAGCAGGTTCAATGGTAGAAAATAAAGTCTGACCCTTGTCGATACTCTGGGTATATGCACCTTCCAACTAGAATTAATGCTAGATAAAATTTAACTAATGTTTTAAAGAAAAACTAATGTTAGCAGAGTTGTTATAGATCTTTTTTCACACTTAAGAACTGGTTTTTAGAAATCAAATTTTGAATTGTGATTGCATTGTGGGCACAGAATTTGGAACATAGTTCTTACAGGAATGAGTCTTCAGAAGAAAATATGTGTCTTTAATAGAAGACAAAGGTATTTATAACCCAGCAGTTAAGAAGCAAGTGAGACAAGATAAATTTGGGAAGGACAGTCTTGAGTTTTATGATCCTGGGAAACCAGGACTGGAAAAAAAGTAGTTTTTTTTTTTTTTTAACATAGTTTTATGGCTTTTCTCATTGAAACTATATGGTTAGGGCTTGAATCTCAAGATTTTTAAGGCAGATGATTTAAAAAGTAGTGTGACTATAGATGATGCTAATTTTACTCTTGTTATTTTATGATGATTGGTTTTTAGAAAAATAAAAACATATAGTACCATAAAGAAATAGTGAAAAACTATTTTGAGCCAATATATTTTGATATACATGATCTAAATCCATTGTTTTGTATAAATTGTTGACATCACTCGCAGTAAAATGAAATTGCATATGTAAGATGAATTAAGGTTAATTTAAAAATATTCTTCTATGAAGTTGTATTTTGAACATAGTAATTTTTTTCCTATTTAAAAGATGTTTGTTCAATTTTTGTCTCCTAAGATTTATGACAGATGAAAGAATTTTCATAATTTAAAATAAACAACCAAAAAAGTGTATTGGTGTGAGTTTTCTAGTTAGCAAATCTTGAAATGTGTTTTGGGACTAAGGGAAAGTTATAGCAAGTGCAGACATTAACATAGACATAAAGTGTGTACGGGCAAATACTCTCATTTCCCAATAACAGGACCTTAGGGCATATCAGTATGCATAATATGGCCATCACTGTATTTACTTACTAATAAATAGCCACTTTAGTGGCAACCTAGAGTCCAAAAAAGGGAAAAGGAGTGAGGTTGAGTGATCTGATATTGCAAGGCAATAATATGCCCCATCGTATCAAGCAGCTGTCCTTTTGCAATTTCAGTTAACATATTTGAAATAGTTCCTTTAAAAACAAATTTGAGCTCTAGGAGGAAATGGAAAATACTTTTAAGAATGGTTTTAAATTGTTTAAAAATTAACTTGCCTCCGAGAAAATTGCCAAAGTTAGCATGTGAGTTTGATGTTATATAAATTAGGATTATAATTTTTGCTAACGTTTTATTTATAAGGTAAATTATGGGTGTTTGATGTAATAAGGAAAATGCTCTTTAAATTACTAAACTCTCTTGCAAATAGTTGCAAAAATGGCATTTAAAAACTAATCTACTACATAAAATTACTTGTATTTGTCTATATCATTACATGGCATTGTTGTTAAGTGCCCTCTCTTTATATACACAGAGCTTTACAAAAGCTTCTTTATTTGGGGGTTTATAGCAAAAGGCAGTTTTCTTAGTGGGACTTAGGGGGATATGTTCTATTATTAACTAGATTCATCCTTCCACCTTTCGTTGTAAATGTAAGTAGTGAAAGTGATGTCCTTTTGGACTCAGGTTTTTACATATAGGTCCATTTGTTAGGGGAGAAGAGGAACAAGGACAAACAGAATTTTCTTATGCTTCTTTTCCAGGTAAAGAGGATATGTGAATAGGGAAGAAGCAAGGTGGTAGGATTGGGGAACAGATTTTGTTGTCTGTTCCACCAGAAATTTCAATGCTTATGTAGTTTCCTTAGGACTCTGAAGTCAAATCAGTAGATAATAAGTATATCAGAATAAATTCTAGTGGCATAACTGGTGAATTATTCTTATTATTAAAGAAGTTATAACCCATAGAGATTAAGTGATTTCCCAAAGCAACACAGCAAGCAGTGGTGGAGTTGAGGTAGAAATTTAGTTCTATTTTTTTCTCTAAAGTGTATGACCTTTTTCCTGTAGGACACTAATACCTTGTCTTGCAGGCTTGCATTCCTTGTTTAGGAAGGAATGTGTGCTTTGGTACTAACAAACAGGAGATGAAATCTCTGATAACTAGCTTTGTAACCAGCCAAACTCCTTGGCTTTTTCTTATTTTTAAAATTAATTAACTACCTAACTAATTAATTAATGCCATCCTGGGGACCCAACCAAGGGCCTTGAGCATGCTGGGCAAGCCCTCTACCACTGAGCCCCATCCCTAACCCCTTATTTTATTTTGTAATTGAACAAATTTTAACTGACAAGTAAAAATTATATGTATCTATGGTCTACAACATGATTTGCTATATTTGTACATTGTGGAATGTCCAAATCAAGCTATTTAACATATGCATTACCTCGAATGCTTACTATTTTTTTTTGTGGTGATAATAATTAAAATCCATTCTCAGCAATTTTCAAGTATATGGTATATTTTATTAACTAGTTACCATGATGAACATCGAACTTAATCCTACAAACTGAAGTTTTGTGTCCTTTGACATCTCCCACCCACCTCAACTTCTGGTAACCACCATTTTACTGTTTGTATGAGTTTGACTTTTTAATGTTCCATAAATATGTAAGTGAAATCATACAGTTTTTGTCTTTCTGTGCATGACTTATTTCACTTAACATAATGACTAATGGTTGATTGTGTTGTCACAAATGACAGGATTTCTTTTGTTTTAAGGCTGTGTGTGTGTATGTGACATTTTCTTTATCCATTTATCAACTGATGGATAGTTAGGTGGATTCCATATCTTGTCTGTTGTGAATAGTGCTCTACTGAACATAGACTACAGATGTCTCTCAGCATACTGATTTTATAACCTTTGTATATATATATATATATATATATATATATATATATATATATATATATATATATACCCAGTAGTGGGATTCCTGGGTTATATGATATAATATTTGTATTTTTAATTTTTGAGGGATCTCCATGCTGTTTTCCATAATAGCTGTATCAATTTACATTCATGCCAACAGTGGTATAAGGGTTCCTTTTTTCTCTACATCTTTTGCCAAAACTTGTCTTTCATCTTTTTGATAATAGCTATTCTGAGAAGTGTGAGGGAATATCTCCTTGTGGTTTTGCTTTGCATTTCTCTAATGATTAGTGATAGTGAACATTTTTTCATAAACCTATTGGTCATTTATATGTGTTGTTTTGTGTAATATTAATTTAGGTCCTGAGCCCACTGTCTAATTGTGTTATCTGTGTTCATACTGTTGAGATGTTTTGAGTTTCTTATGTATTTTGGATTAACCCTTTATTAAGCTGTAGGATTTGAAAATGTATTCTCCCATTCTGTAGGTTGCCTTTTTTATTCTGTTAATGGTTTTCTTTGCTACTCAAAAGTGTTTTAGTTTGATGAAATCTCATTTGTTTGTTTTTTCTTTTATTGCCTGTGCTTCTGGGATCCTTGTCAAAATATCTTTGTGCTGACCAATATCCTGAAGCTTTTCCCCTAGTTTTTCTTCCTGCAGTTTTATGACTTAATGTTTAAGTCTTTAATCCATATTTACTTGATTTTTTTTTTTTTTTTTTTTTTGCCTATAGTGTGGGGCAAGGGTATAATTTCATTCTGCTTGTGGATATTCAGTTTTCCCAGCATCATTCTGAAACAACTATCCCTTTTTCATTATGTGTTTGGCATTGTTGTCATAAATTAATTGAGCATAAATATATAGATTTATCTCTATATTTGGTTTTTATATCAATATCTTGTGGTTTTGTTTACTGTATCCTCTTAGTAGATTTTTCAAATCAGGTAGTGTGGTGCTTCTGATTTTGTTCTTTTTCACAAGATTACTTTGATTATTGAGGATCTTTTGTGGTTCAGTATAAACTTTAAGATTTTTTCCATTTCTGTGAAAAATGTCATTAGAATTTTGATAGGAGTTGCATTGAACCTATAGAACACTTTAGATAGTATGGACATTTTTCAATATTAATTCTTCAAAACATAAGATCTTTCCATTTATTTATGTCTTAATCATTGATGTTTTATAGCTTCTAGTATATAGATCTTTTACCTTTTTGGTTAAATTTATTCCTAAGGGTTTTATTTTTTTAGTAGATTAATTTTCCTGAATTTTTTGATAGTTCATTGTTAGCATAGAGAATGCTTGTGATTTTTTTTTTTTTTTGGTATTGTACAACTTTACTGAATTTGTTTATTAGTTCTAATAAGATCATGTTGTCATGTTGTCTGGAAAAAGATAATTTAACATCTTCCTTTCTAATTTGGATGCCTTTTATTTCTTTTTCTTGCCTAATTGCACTGGCTAGAACATCTAGTAGAAGTGGCAAGAGTGAGTATCTTATTCCTGATATTGGAGAAAGTTTAAAACTTTCACCATTGAGTATGATGTTAGCCATTGGCTTTTCCAAATATGACCTTTACTGTGTTGAGGTACATTTATTCTGTACTTACTTTGTTGAGCCACTTGACTTCTTTAAAGTTCATTTTTATTATTAGATTAACTTAAAGATAATAATACCTATTATATGAGTTTTTTGAGGTTCAAATGAGATAGTATATGCAGATATTCTTTGTGAATCTAAAAATGCTTTACAATAAGGAATTGTTGTTGTTTTGATTTAATAGGTAGTAGACCTAAGGTCTAGATAGTTTGAGGAAGTTAAATTTATGTTTCTTTATTTCTAACCATGGGAATGATAGATTGTGTTTTTAGTTCTGAAAGGGACTTAGTCATTTAGAATCATACTTCTTTGGTGAAAACCTAAGACATAGAATGGTTAGGCAGCTTCTCAAGGTCATGTATCTAATTAATGTTATCACCACTATTACTAGCAGCTACCGTTTATTAGATTTCAGTTTACTGGATACTGTGCTGATTATTTCTTGCATATTATTTCAAATCATCATAAGCTTGATATAGGAAGTGTATATCATTTTACTGATAAACAGATTTAGGTTGATTACACAGCTTGAAAGTGGGAAAGCCAGGATTCAAACCAGAATCTCACTGTAGTATTTGTATTCCTAGTACAGTGTAGTTTGCCTCCCTCACACCTGGTCCCAAATTTTAGCCTTTTGATTCTACTTAGTGAAACTTGATCTCCTCATAACCACATCTATCTGTTCTCTAAAGAATCTGTTAATATTAGGAAGTATAAAGTTTGAATCATTTAAGTAGTTCTTTGTTCATCTGCTTAAAGAAAAATGAATATTGACAGATGTGGTGGTACATGCCTGGAACACTAGTTGCTCAAGAGGTTGAGGCAGGAAGATGTTAAGTTCAAGGCCAGAGCACACAATTTAGTGAGACCCTGTCTAAACAAACAAAACAAACAAACAGGGCTAAGGATGTTGTACAGGGTCCCTGGGTTCAATCTCCATTACTGCAAAAAATGAAAAGAAACAAAAATAGTTTCTTTTTTCCCCTTCAGTTATATGAGGGAATCCCTAACACGATAGTAATTCTACTTCATTGTTTTTTTTTTTGGTGGGGGGGTGGGATGGAATTTTTTGTGACAATAGGTATGAAGACTTATTAGTTGACATAGATATTAGTAAAATAAACTTCATTAAAAAGCTATAATCACCTATTATTTTCCTTAAGAAGGGAAGTAGTAGTGGTAACCTGTATTCTAAAACTGGTAGGTATAGTATGTATGCTTTTAAAGTAGATGATATTTATTTTTCTCATGAAAGATTTCTTAGTACAGTTTTGCTCAGATTAATAGAGAAATCAGTTTGTACTCCAAAAGTACAGAATGCCTAGGAAACAG